AGACCTTGCCTTGGCAATGACGCATTTGAAGGACCTGGAGGCGGAATTATACTTTTTTTTAAGTGCGCTGGTGTTTACATCCCGAGACGGAGACGTTGATGCGTCAGCCCAGGTCCGGTGGCACTCCTGCTTATAACGTGATTCTATTTTACAGAAGCGACCAAACCATGGCTGGGATCTGCCTCCGATGGGCACCACAGAGAATGGTATAAAAAGTTCCATACTCTGAAGTACCACATCAGCAACAGAATTGGCAAAAACGCTGGGATATTCCGGCGAGAAGCAAACCCGCCCCCAAGGGTAGGATGCAAAAAAAGACCGCATCCCGTCCCAATCGGCCGACCTATAGTGCCAAACACAGTGGCAAGCTGCAAATCGCAACTGCGATGGGAGCGTAAGTGGCACCGTACTCCGGTTTAGACAATGGTCGGAAGAGCCGAGAGGGGCATCAACGGAGACCTGATATTCGTCCGGATGAGAAGTGAGCAGAAGGTCGAACAGGGAAGGTACATGATCCTCCACATCTGGGATTCGCGTCAGTGAAGTAACCAGTTGTGTTAGACCATATGCCAAGGCGAAGTCATAGACAGATCTACCCGCATGATTGGTTAAACGGGAACCAAGCCAGCGTGGTGGGCGTTAAAATCTCCGAGTATCACGATCTCTGCGGATGGGACCTGTTGTAGCACGGAGTCTGAAGCCATTTGGACGTGGTCCATGAGTCGGTCTGTGTCGACATTACCGCTATGGGACTTATAGAGGCACCCGTAGACGCGGGGATGGTCGTCTACGCGCAGCCATAGGATGGACAGGTCCATACCTTCAAGACTGCCGAGGCGTTAAATACAGTTATTTTTTCTATATGTTACTTTTTTCTATTTTGTAAAAAACTTATTTTTGCGTTGTACAAATAAAGTTAAACGCGAAACGAAGACAATATAAAACGCATGAACAAAAGGAAATATTACACCAGCGATATACAAAAGACATTGAACGTCGTCGTTTACATAAATTTAATCTCACAGCTGCGAAACAAAACATCGTCTCTACGGCGTATTGAATATAAGATTTAATATTATGTTAAACAATGATTTATATGGCTCAATAAATATTGAGCTACGGAACAAATTACGCTCATATTATTTTGTTTATTTTATTTTATTTATTTATTTATTCTTTATTGTATTCCTTAATCTAAAAGAATACAAAGGGCGGACTTAATGCCTTGTGGCTGAGACAAAGGAAAACACGTCCGTACAGTTCAACCATTTATTGCGAGAGAGCGAGGTCACAAACTACCTTCCTTATGCTAACAATAAGCTTACCCTACATTACACCTCCACCCTTATTCTAAACGTACTTAAACTAATATAAAATAAAGCACATATCACTTAACTAACTTACAACTAATCAAAATCAAATCCATAACGTCGCGGGGCCCTACGAGTTCTAGGCGGGTTGGGGCGCTCCCTCGCTGGGCTCGGAGCGGCGGGCGCCGGCTGCGGGGCGGGCGGGGGGCGCGGGGACGTCGCGGCGGGCGCGGACCTGGCCGCGGCCCCTCTGCCACTCGAACTGGCCTCTTCCTCCACCACTGGAGAGGAGCCATTCGGATACACTAGATAGGAACGTGATAATGAACCTCTTCCTCCTTCTGAAACATCCCGGTCTTCCCCTTCCCTATCCGGCTCCCCCGATCGTGGTCTTATCTGGTCGACATGTCTATGAATAAAGACTTTATCAGCCCCTAGAATATTATAGTCCGTTTCTCCTAGTCTGGAGTGTACTTCTCCTTTTAACCATTTTACAACCGAGTTACGATAATCGCGGTACCATACGCGGTCTCCCGGCGCGAACTGCCGGCGACTGCCGCCCGCGGCGCGCGCCTGCCGCGCCTGCTCGCGCCGCACGCGGGGCCCCAGCTCCGGCTTCAGACAGTCGAGGCGTGTGCGCAGTGAACGACCTTGTAATAATTTCGCTGGGCTCACACCGGTAGTACAGTGTTCGGTGTTACGATATACGAGTAGAAACCTATTAAGCGCGATATCGATATTCACATCCTGTACCAGTGCCTTTTTTATAACCCGCTTGCACATTCTAACCGCATTCTCAGCTGCGCCATTCGAAGCCGGGTGATAGGGTGCTGAAAATATGTGTTCTATACCGTTATCCTTAAGAAATAACTGAAATTCCTGACTAGTAAATGGCGGACCGTTGTCACTCACTATCTGTCTTGGCAGACCGAATCTAGCCCACATTTCCCTTAATTTGCTTATTAAATTTTTTGCCGAAATGGAACTCACAGCAGTGACTTCGACCCATTTAGAATGAGCATCCACGGTGACTAAGTAAGTAGCGCCCCCTATCGGCCCTAAAAAATCGAGATGCAGTCGCGACCACGGGCGCTCTGGCCACAGCCACGGGCGCGGCTCGTGTCGCTCCGGCGCATCCGCCACGCGCGCGCACACCGAGCAGGCGCGGCACACGGCCTCCACCGCCTCGTCGATCCCCGGCCACCACACGTAGCTGCGAGCGAACTGTTTCGTCTTGGTGATCCCCATGTGAGCCTCATGTAACTCTGCGAGAACTTTCTCCCTGCAACTAGAAGGTACCACTACTCTGTGACCCCACATGACGCACCCCAGTTCCTCGTATAACACTTTCTGTCTGTGAAAGTATGGTTTGATATCTTTTATTTCGATATCTTGCGGCCAGCCGTCCCGTATATAACCGAGGACCCGCCCTAGTATCGCGTCCCTCGCGGTTTCCCGCTTTAAACTATTATTGTCTATTAATAAGGCCTCTGACGCGAAATGTAAATAAGTTTGTTCCGGAAATTCTCGATTTTCCTCCGACCTACTCTCTTTATGGGTAGAAATCATTCGCGACAATGCATCCGCCACATTATCATTAGTTGAGACGTATTCGATATCTAAATCGTAAGCTGTTAATATTAAAGCCCATCTCTGTAATCTACTGGCCGTCATGCTAGGAATACCTTGGTGTGGACCGAATATTGTGACTAACGGTTTATGATCCGTCCGCAATGTAAACCGTCGCCCGTAAACATACTGGTGAAACTTTTTCACAGCAAATACAATAGCTAACGCCTCCTTTTGTATCTGACTGTAGTTGCATTCCGCGGCGGTGAGCGCGCGCGACACACACATGACGGGGCGCTCGCGGCCGGCCGCGTCGCGCTGCGCCAGCACGGCGCCGAGCCCGCGCGCGCTGGCATCACACGTCACCACTAACGGCGCGCCCGGCTCGTAGTGGCTCAGCGCGACCGCGTCACTCAAACGTCTCTTAACTACAGTGAAAGCCTGCTGTTCTAATTTACCCCATTTCCATGTCGAGTCTTTTTTTAGTAGTTCGTAAAGTGGCTGTAAAATGGTACTCAAATTGGTCACGAAACGGCTATAAAAATTGACCATTCCTAAAAATGACCGAAGTTCCGAAATATCTTTGGGTGGTGACATCAACAGAATCGATTCTATCTTGTCAGTATCGGGGTGGATTCCCTCTTTATTCATTACATAACCCAAATATTTCACTTTTTCTACAAAAAATTCACATTTTTCCCTTTTTAATTTAAGACCGTACTCTTTCAATTTATCTAGCACTTTACGTAAAGTATGTATATGGTTTTCGATAGTGTCCGAAGCGATCAAAACGTCATCCAAAAATACTACGACCCCCTCGATATCTTTTAACAAGTTAACCATTATTCTTTGAAAAATTCCCGGACTGGATGCTAAGCCGAAAAGCGATATATATTATAAGCGATAATGTAATACTAACCCATGGATCTTTGTTGTCTGAAATTAAATGAATTTGAATTTGAAATTTGAAAACAAGTCTGTTGTACATAAACAAACCGCGATGGGTGTTAATCACTGTGTACTTTTTGGTATCGTCAAGCTCGATCTGATTGTATGCCTGTGATAAGTCTATTTTGCTGAAAAATTTACTTCCCCCTAATTGCGACAATAAGTCGTCAATTTGAGGCACTGGGTACTTGTCGACACATAAGACACGATTGAGGGTTACCTTGTAATCCGCGCATATTCGAATAGCTCCATCCGATTTATTGACAATAACGAGAGGAGTCGCCCAGTCCGAGCACTCGACGGGCTCAATGACGCCCGCGCGCAGCATGGCGTCCAGCTCGGCGTCCACGCGCTCCCGCAGCGCGTAAGGCAGCGGCCGCGCGCGGCAGATCACCGGGGCCGCGTTCGCGCGCACCGCCAGCCGAGCCCGCCCACCCGTGAAGCGCCCCAGCCCGCCGTCGAACAACTCAGCATAGCTGGAAAACAATTCATTTACGGCATAAGATACATTCATGGCTGATGCGTTTAACCTGTTTACATAAAATTTTGGTACGCTGATATCAAGTTCTGACAACCACTGTCTGCCTAATAAAGTAGTAGTACCGTTATTAATAACATATAAGTCTAAAACTTTGCTAGACCGCCCATATGTCACATTAACCTCGTAGTAACCTAATGGCTTTATTTTTGTTCCATCATAAAAGGTTAGTGCTAAATCACATGGTAATAATGGTAAATGATTAAATGTATCTTGTAACACGAAAATTTTCGTATACTTTTATGTTGTTGCACGTGATTAACTTTTATGTTGTTGCACAAATAACTTCACCTATAATTCTAGGTGTTGATTTTTGGCAGGTGTTTGACTTAGGGAGTGACCTTGTATCCGAAGTACAGTTTGACCGAAAGTCGGAGTCATCAATATGTAATAGCATAAATTCGGTTTCTCTTAATAAAGGCCTTGAAGAATACGAGTCTTTATCCATAGAACAAAAACAAATCATGGATAAGTTAGTCCAACAGTTTGATACAATTAACACAGTTAAAGTAGGTTTGGGACGTACCAATTTAATTCATCACGTCATAGACACAGGGTATAGCAAACCTATTAAGCAAAGGTACTATCCATTATCACCTGTTAAGCAACTAGCACTTGAAAAAGAATTGGATAGAATGCTTAGTTTGGGAGTTGTGTCACCTTCACAGTCAGCTTGGAACTCACCTGTAGTAATGGTTCAGAAGCCAAATGGGGACCTAAGGCTTTGTCTAGATTGTAGAAAATTAAATGCAGTTTCCAAACCCGATGCGTATCCTCTCCCGTATATAAGCAGCATATTGGACCAGCTCCGCGACGCGAAATACCTAACGTCAATAGATCTTTCCGCTGCGTATTGGCAAATACCCTATGATAGCGAGCAATCAGCTGATAAGACCGCGTTCACAGTGCCACGTAGGGGGTTATTTAGATTCAATGTAATGTCGTTTGGCCTTGTTTCCGCGTCAAGCACAATGCAGAGATTAATGGATAGGCTATTTGGTACCGAATTTAACAACAAAGTATTCTGTTTCCAAGACGACATAATCATAATATCCAGCACTTTCTCAGAACATGTGCAGCTCTTGCATAAGTTCTATGCAAAACTCAGGGACGCAAACTTGACTATAAACATGGATAAGTCTATCTTTTGCCGTAGAGAACTTAAGTACTTGGGATATTTAGTTGACAAACATGGACTTAGAACTGATCCGGGAAAGGTAGATATTATATTGAATTATCCAACTCCAACTTCCGCTAAAGAGGTTAAAAGGTTTCTAGGCATGGCAGGCTGGTACAGGAGGTTCATTAACAATTTTCCGAAAATTAGTAAACCGTTGAATAAATTAACTAGCAAAAATGTCCGCTTTGAATGGACTACGGAGGCAGATGAGTCATTTAACCACTTAAAAACCGCTTTAGTGTCTGCTCCGATACTTAAATGTCCAAACTTTGATTTGCCTTTTTCTATCCATTGTGACGCTTCCTCAGTGGCTGTGGGCGGAGTCTTAACCCAGACTTATGACGGGGTAGAACATCCCATAGCATACTGCAGTCGGTCTCTTGCCAAAAATGAAATTAATTTTTCCACATCGGAGAGAGAACTTATGGCCGTGATTTACGCATTAGAGCAATTTAGATCTTATGTAGAAGGTACAAAGTGTAAAATAATAACCGACCACGCCTCGTTATTATGGTTTTATAAATTAAATAACCCATCAGGTCGCTTAGCCAGGTGGAGCATGCGATTGAGTCAATTTGATTTCGAAATAGAACACAGAAAAGGTAAATTAAATGGTTATTCCAGACGCACTAAGTAGGATTCAAGTTGATGCAATCGCTACGCCAGCAACCAGTGATGCGTGGTATAGACATGTATACGAAGATTGTCAGGCCAACCCTCGCAAATATCCCCACTTCATGGTAAAAGACGATAGATTGCTTAGGTACTCTAAAAATAAATATGAGTTAACGAATGAGTTTAATTGGAAGTTAGTGGTACTCGAGGAAGACAGGTTAGATATTTTAAAGAAATGTCATGATGAACCAGTTAGTGCTCATTTGGGTGTCTTTAAAACCCACAAGCGTCTTAGTCTTAATTATTACTGGCCCAGCATGTACCGAGATGTGAAAGAATATGTTAAAAATGCGAGATATGTAAACAATACAAACCCAAACACGGCTAGACCTGGTTTAATGGGAAACCCGAAGGAGGTTAACAAACCCTGGGAGGCCATATGTTGCGATTTGCTAGGCCCATTTCCGGTTTCTCGCAATAGGAATATTCACTTAATTGTATGTACAGACTATTTTAGCAAGTATGTCATGTTGCATCCTATACGGATCGCAACAGGCGCTGCGGTCGCTAAGTTCATAGAAGAGAAAGTGTTCCTAGTACATGGCGTATGTAAGACTATCTATATTGACAATAGCCCACAGTATGTGTCTAATCAGTTTAGGCAACTGTTACATAAATATAACGTACCGAATATCTATTATAACCCGCGTTATCACCCACAGGTAAATCAAGCCGAAAGAGCGATTAGGAACGTAGTTAACGGTATATCATGTTATGTAGGTACCGAGCATAAACGATGGGACGAGAACATCCCACAGTTGCAATGCGCACTTAATTCAGCCGTGAATGATACCACTAAGTTTACTCCGTATTTTCTTGTGCACGGACGGGAATTCATAATAGATGGAATGTTACACAGCTTAGATAGCCCTCAGCCAGTTCAAAGATCACAAGTAACTCTCGGTGAACCACAAGCATACAGTAAAAAATTAGCGGAATTAGACACCATATTTAAAAAGGTACAAAAGCATATTAAAAATGCTCATTCTAGAAATGAAAAGTACTATAACTTAAGAAAACGACATGTTGAGTTAAAAGTAGGTCAGATTGTATATAAACGTACCCATTACCTATTTAATGCCTCAAAGAGATTTACGGCTAAACTAGCACCAAAATTTCAAAAATGTGTCATAACAGCGAAATTATCACCTTTAGTGTATACAGTAGCCAGCATGGAAGGTAAGACACTAGGTAATTTTCACATAAAAGACATCCTTAAACAAGATGACTAATAGTTTTGTAGAATGTGAGTGATGAGTATGATTGAGTGAAAGAATGTAAGAATAATAAACATTTTCAAAATTCATTTCCACCGGTGAACTTTCTGAGATAAATAAGCTGTGATTGTATTGATGAACGAGCGATACATAACTAGTAGGTCATCTTATGTTGTGAACATCGGCGCGAGTTAGATAAGAATTTGTTCTTTATGTCCGCACTCTGGACATTATATAAGAAAATGCATACCAGCCAGTGCGTAGCATTACTTAAGCTGTTTCTTTTAACTTAATATGATTAAACGTTAATTCACTTAACTTAATGCGAGATAGATATTTAACTTAACTTAATACTTAATATGATTTCCAAATCACTTAACTACTCAACTTAATAAATAAGATCACGTTCGTTTTTCGACTACTTAGAGAAAAGTCGAGTCGAAACGTAAACATCGTGTGTAGGCTTAGTGCACTGTAGGTATTCGTTTCTGTCCCGTGATGTTACGTCACGCACCGCATGAATGGTAATAGACTATTCGCGCGTAGGATTCGGGAACGTAATTATTCATAGGCGGTTGTATTTCATTATTGTAAAAACATGTAGGAATAAATGTAAATAAAGTTGCATGCCATTAGGTTAATATAGGTATAACAATTAGTGTAGTATTTTCTAACTTACAACACAAGTAGGTAAATTTGTGGTAGTGTTTTTTTTTGTGTTAACAACACAAGTAGGTAATTACATTTTGAGGTTAAATTGTTTAGTGGAATATAATGTTACTAGGTATACAGATACAGAAATGAAAATTAGGTAATAAGTAGAGTAATAATGAGCCTTGTGTAAGATTAAACGTCGTAATTAAGTGATTAAGTGATGGCTTGGTACTTGTTAGTTGTTGGTGCATGGGTAACCTGGAATTTACTATCCGTGCGAATGTTTTTAGCCAGATTGGAGTAGAGACGCATTACAACTTCTTCACTGTCTTTGGTATTCAGTCGTTGTTCTGCAGGTGGCACGAAATGTCTTCGGAAAAAGTATCTTCATTACGAAGAACTTTTTAACCCTAGCAAAGGGGATGTGTAACACGAAAAGTTTTGTGTACATTATTTTAGCATATTTACGTTATTACATGCGATGAACAGACTTCAGAGCGCCATCTAACGTCATTAGTCCGAAGTAACTAGAAACGTATATTGACGAATCGAGCTAGCTAATTGCATGCAATTGACCTTTCGTGTTAGTTCGAAATCCTACCACGGATCGACGGTGGCGTGTAGCCCAAGGGAGGCCTAGTTCTTTTTGGAGCGAGCCGTTGTAATGATCGGACACGCACATATATAATTTTTGAATCGAAACGCTGGAACATGAATTTAAAGTGACGACTACTTGGGCGTACGGCCCCTTAAACACAATGTCTACGGGCAGTTTAATGTGTTGAAACACATCATCCCATAAATTGTAAGTACTTAATGTTTTTGTCTTCTTAAAAGCACATGTGCTCTAATTAACGATACACGGTGTTTCATAGATTCTTTTGCCTTGTCATAGGGGTCCTTAGTCCTTAGTCCTTAGTCCTTAGTCCGTACTTTGAGTATGGTCCATTATCAAGTTTAACAATGTGAACGAGGCGAGGCAGCTTCAACGGGTGGCTATATTGGGACTGGGCGGCCAGAAGACCGCGACCGGCGTACACCTGGAGGATATCTGTTGCCTCACTGCTTCGCGGGATTGACCATAAACAGTGTAATATTGTGTAATCCACCAGGTTAGTCAAAACCTCAGTTCGTAGGATATTTTAAAGTGAAAACTTGATATTTGGAGCTATATATGTGAACCGTAGAAGGAAATAAAACCCTTTTTGTCTGCATATGTAACTTAGCATTTTCATTTACTAATCATCCAACAACAGGCGCCCTGGGATACTTTTATTTTGATCCTCGAGTCCCTTGACTCTCCGATAACCGTAGCCGGTGAGTAACGCCCTAAAAAGTGTTATAAAGTGGCTACCCAACGTTGAACCTTAAGTTGCTGGATGTTAGTAGATGAATTAACCTTAATTGTAACTATTTAAGCTGTTAAAAACCCATTTAATATGAAAACTTTGTGAAATTTAATGTTAACATTTTTTTTTTCTGATGTAGGTAGATTTAGGTAAGCTTGAGAATAAAGAAAGTTTAACTTGAATGTGATTTATATGTACTTAAAAGAATTAAAACTTAACATAATAAAAATATTTGTGCTATTTTAAGTAGATATTTTTAATATCAACCGATTTAAGACTTTCTTGTAACCGTCAGTACATTTTAACAAAATGTCGATCCACAAGTATATAGACTCATTACATAAAGATGAAATCAGATATGAACTCGCCATTATTGGTATTTCCACAGATGAAAATGTAACCACCGATGCAGTGAGGAGGCAGATCCGCCAGGTGTACAAACTCGCACGCCGTGGAAGCATAAAGTGTGAACCACTCCAGTCACCCAGTATAGCCTCTGAACTAGAGATCTGCACCCCAAAGGTCGAACTTCTGGAATCCCAGCTGCAGGCGGGTAAAGTAGATGATCGCAATTTGACTCTTAAACTGTATCGTCGTGCAAATTATTTGATGGATAGACTAGCTCGTATCTCTGAAAGTAGTTCGCATTTGTCAGATCTTCGTAGTCGTTTGATTCGCATTTTGAGTGTCATAGACGGTGAGGATAGCGACACGGATAGTGAGTACAAGGAAACCCAGGCACAGCCGTCTAACCAGAAAGTGGAAAGTAACGTGATCTATGTGAAAGATAAACCCTTGAACCTAAATACATTTAACTTAAAATTTGACGAAACCACGTGTGTTCGTGTATTTATTGAACGTCTTGAGGAACTTAAAGAGGCTCGCAACATTACTGAAGCTCGCATACTTTCAGCTTTTTCTGATCTTTTAGAAAACTCTGCTTTATGTTGGTTTAGAAGTAATAAGGATAATATCTACTCATATTCACAATTATTGAAATGCTTAAAGGACGACTTTGATATTCCCGATTTAGACTATAAACTATTAAATGAAATAAGGCAGCGTACACAGGCCAGACACGAAACGATAGTAGTCTATCTTTCCATTATGCAGGGAATGTTCTCGCGACTAACTCAGGCGTTGTCGAGTAGACAACAACTCGAAATCTTGATGCATAACATTAGACCAGAGTACATGAAAGATTTAGCTTTACATGATATAACCTCTGTAGACAAACTTAAACTTTATTGCAAACAGTTAGAAATTGCGCGGTCGCGTGCGGAACAATTTAGTGAACCTAACTTGAATAACTTTAAAATTACAGTGGACTTAAATAAACAAACGCCGCGATCTCACAGTAAACAAGTCTCTGTGCTGAATGAAGCTGGCTCTTCGAGGCAATTGGATAGGAAATGCTTTAGGTGTGGATTAAACACTCATTTCACCAATCAATGCGATTCGAAAGAGTTAGTGTGTTTTAAGTGTGGATTAAAAGGTGTTAAGCGTTCAGATTGTAGTAATTGCAATTCAAAAAACTAGTTAACACGGAACTATCCAACACCTTTAATAAAAATAGGTCTTATACGTCCAATAATGAAGAGGTAGTTCTGTTTAAAAAAAATACTAGGGATATAAGACCATACTTAAAATTAAAAATATTGAACTTACAAGCTTTTGGCTTATTAGATTCGGGTGCAACTTGTAGCATTCTTGGAAATAATGCGCATTTGATCTTTTTAGAACACGGATTTCAACTCAACTGGTTTGACACTGAGCACTACGTGAGAACTGCTGATGGTACGAGATTGCATTGCTTAGGGTATATGTCCTTACTTATTGAATTTAACAATAATTTCAGAGTGATTAACTTTTATGTTGTTGCACAAATAACTTCACCTATAATTCTAGGTGTTGATTTTTGGCAGGTGTTTGACTTAGGGAGTGACCTTGTATCCGAAGTACAGTTTGACCGAAAGTCGGAGTCATCAATATGTAATAGCATAAATTCGGTTTCTCTTAATAAAGGCCTTGAAGAATACGAGTCTTTATCCATAGAACAAAAACAAATCATGGATAAGTTAGTCCAACAGTTTGATACAATTAACACAGTTAAAGTAGGTTTGGGACGTACCAATTTAATTCATCACGTCATAGACACAGGGGATAGCAAACCTATTAAGCAAAGGTACTATAGTAATGGTTCAGAAGCCAAATGGGGACCTAAGGCTTTGTCTAGATTGTAGAAAATTAAATGCAGTTTCCAAACCCGATGCGTATCCTCTCCCGTATATAAGCAGCATATTGGACCAGCTCCGCGACGCGAAATACCTAACGTCAATAGATCTTTCCGCTGCGTATTGGCAAATACCCTATGATAGCGAGCAATCAGCTGATAAGACCGCGTTCACAGTGCCACGTAGGGGGTTATTTAGATTCAATGTAATGTCGTTTGGCCTTGTTTCCGCGTCAAGCACAATGCAGAGATTAATGGATAGGCTATTTGGTCCCGAATTTAACAACAAAGTATTCTGTTTCCAAGACGACATAACCATAATATCCAGCACTTTCTCAGAACATGTGCAGCTCTTGCATAAGGTCTATGCAAAACTCAGGGACGCAAACTTGACTATAAACATGGATAAGTCTATCTTTTGCCGTAGAGAACTTAAGTACTTGGGATATTTAGTTGACAAACATGGACTTAGAACTGATCCGGGAAAGGTAGATATTATATTGAATTATCCAACTCCAACTTCCGCTAAAGAGGTTAAAAGGTTTCTAGGCATGGCAGGCTGGTACAGGAGGTTCATTAACAATTTTCCGAAAATTAGTAAACCGTTGAATAAATTAACTAGCAAAAATGTCCGCTTTGAATGGACTACGGAGGCAGATGAGTCATTTAACCACTTAAAAACCGCTTTAGTGTCTGCTCCGATACTTAAATGTCCAAACTTTGATTTGCCTTTTTCTATCCATTGTGATGCTTCCTCAGTGGCTGTGGGCGGAGTCTTAACCCAGACTTATGACGGGGTAGAACATCCCATAGCATACTGCAGTCGGTCTCTTGCCAAAAATGAAATTAATTTTTCCACATCGGAGAGAGAACTTATGGACGTGATTTACGCATTAGAGCAATTTAGATCTTATGTAGAAGGTACAAAGTGTAAAATAATAACCGACCACGCCTCGTTATTATGGTTTTATAAATTAAATAACCCATCAGGTCGCTTAGCCAGGTGGAGCATGCGATTGAGTCAATTTGATTTCGAAATAGAACACAGAAAAGGTAAATTAAATGGTTATTCCAGACGCACTAAGTAGGATTCAAGTTGATGCAATCGCTACGCCAGCAACCAGTGATGCGTGGTATAGACATGTATACGAAGATTGTCAGGCCAACCCTCGCAAATATCCCCACTTCATGGTAAAAGACGATAGATTGCTTAGGTAGTCTAAAAATAAATATGAGTTAACGAATGAGTTTAATTGGAAGTTAGTGGTACCCGAGGAAGACAGGTTAGATATTTTAAAGAAATGTCATGATGAACCAGTTAGTGCTCATTTGGGTAAATTCGCTCATTAAAACCCACAAGGGTCTTAGTCTTAATTATTACTGGCCCAGCATGTACCGAGATGTGAAAGAATATGTTAAAAAATGCGAGATATGTAAACAATACAAACCCGTCAACACGGCTAGACCTGGTTTAATGGGAAACCCGAAGGAGGTTAACAAACCCTGGGAGGCCATATGTTGCGATTTGCTAGGCCCATTTCCGGTTTCTCGCAATAGGAATATTCACTTAATTGTATGTACAGACTATTTTAGCAAGTATGTCATGTTGCATCCTATACGGATCGGAACTGGCGCTGCGGTCGCTAAGTTCATAGAAGAGAAAGTGTTCCTAGTACATGGCGTATGTAAGACTATCTATATTGACAATGGCCCACAGTATGTGTCTAATCAGTTTAGGCAACTGTTACATAAATATAACGTACCGAATATCTATTATAACCCGCGTTATCTTCCACAGGTAAATCAAGCCGAAAGAGCGATTAGGAACGTAGTTAACGGTATATCATGTTATGTAGGTACCGAGCATAAACGATGGGACGAGAACATCCCACAGTTGCAATGCGCACTTAATTCAGCCGTGAATGATACCACTAAGTTTACTCCGTATTTTCTTGTGCACGGACGGGAATTCATAATAGATGGAATGTTACACAGCTTAGATAGCCCTCAGCCAGTTCAAAGATCACAAGTAACTCTCGGTGAACCACAAGCATACAGTAAAAAATTAGCGGAATTAGACACCATATTTAAAAAGGTACAAAAGCATATTAAAAATGCTCATTCTAGAAATGAAAAGTACTATAACTTAAGAAAACGACATGTTGAGTTAAAAGTAGGTCAGATTGTATATAAACGTACCCATTACCTATTTAATGCCTCAAAGAGATTTACGGCCAAACTAGCACCAAAATTTCAAAAATGTGTCATAACAGCGACATTATCACCTTTAGTGTATACATTAGCCAGCATGGAAGGTAAGACACTAGGTAATTTTCACATAAAAGACATCCTTAAACAAGATGACTAATAGTTTTGTAGAATGTGAGTGATGAGTATGATTGAGTGAAAGAATGTAAGAATAATAAACATTTTCAAAATTCATTTCCACCGGTGAACTTTCTGAGATAAATAAGCTGTGATTGTATTGATGAACGAGCGATACATAACTAGTAGGTCATCTTATGTTGTGAACATCGGCGCGAGTTAGATAAGAATTTGTTCTTTATGTCCGCACTCTGGACATTATATAAGAAAATGCATACCAGCCAGTGCGTAGCATTACTTAAGCTGTTTCTTTTAACTTAATATGATTAAACGTTAATTCACTTAACTTAATGCGAGATAGATATTTAACTTAACTTAATACTTAATATGATTTCCAAATCACTTAACTACTCAACTTAATAAATAAGAACACGTTCGTTTTTCGACTACTTAGAGAAAAGTCGAGTCGAAACGTAAACATCGTGTGTAGGCTTAGTGCACTGTAGGTATTCGTTTCTGTCCCGTGATGTTACGTCACGCACCGCATGAATGGTAATAGACTATTCGCGCGTAGGATTCGGGACCGTAATTATTCATAGGCGGTTGTATTTCATTATTGTAAAAACATGTAGGAATAAATGTAAATAAAGTTGCATGCCATTAGGTTAATATAGGTATAACAATTAGTGTAGTATTTTCTAACTTACAACACAAGTAGGTAAATTTGTGGTAGTGTTTTTTTTTTTGTGTTAACAACACAAGTAGGTAATTACATTTTGAGGTTAAATTGTTTAGTGGAATATAATGTTACTAGGTATACAGATACAGAAATGAAAATTAGGTAATAAGTAGAGTAATAATGAGCCTTGTGTAAGATTAAACGTCGTAATTAAGTGATTAAGTGATGGCTTGGTACTTGTTAGTTGTTGGTGCATGGGTGACCTGGAATTTACTATCCGTGCGAATGTTTTTAGCCAGATTGGATTAGAGACGCATTACAACTTCTTCACTGTCTTTGGTATTCAGTCGTTGTTCTGCAGGTGGCACGAAATGTCTTCGGAAAAAGTATCTTCATTACGAAGAACTTTTTAACCCAAGCAAAGGGGATGTGTAACACGAAAAGTTTTGTGTACATTATTTTAGCATATTTACGTTATTACATGCGATGAACAGACTTCAGAGCGCCATCTAACGTCATTAGTCCGAAGTAACTAGAAACGTATATTGACGAATCGAGCTAGCTAATTGCATGCAATTGACCTTTCGTGTTAGTTTGAAATCCTACCACGGATCGACGGTGGCGTGTAGCCCAAGGGAGGCCTAGTTCTTTTTGGAGCGAGCCGTTGTAATGATCGGACACGCACATATATAATTTTTGAATCGAAACGCCGGAACATGAATTTAAAGTGACGACTACTTGGGCGTACGGCCCCTTAAACACAATGTCTACGGGCAGTTTAATGTGTTGAAACACATCATCCCATAAATTGTAAGTACTTAATGTTTTTGTCTTCTTAAAAGCACATGTGCTCTAATTAACGGTACACGGTGTTTCATAGATTCTTTTGCCTTGTCATAGGGGTCCTTAGTCCTTAGTCCTTAGTCCTTAGTCCGTACTTTGAGTATGGTCCATTATCAAGTTTAACAATGTGAACGAGGCGAGGCAGCTTCAACGGGTGGCTATATTGGGACTGGGCGGCCAGGAGACCGCGACCGGCGTACACCTGGAGGATATCTGTTGCCTCACTGCTTCGCGGGATTGACCATAAACAGTGTAATATTGTGTAATCCACCAGGTTAGTCAAAACCTCAGTTCGTAGGATATTTTAAAGTGAAAACTTGATATTTGGAGCTATATATGTGAACCGTAGAAGGAAATAAAACCCTTTTTGTCTGCATATGTAACTTAGCATTTTCATTTACTAATCATCCAACAACAGGCGCCCTGGGATACTTTTATTTTGATCCTCGAGTCCCTTGACTCTCCGATAACCGTAGCCGGTGAGTAACGCCCTAAAAAGTGTTATAAAGTGGCTACCCAACGTTGAACCTTAAGTTGCTGGATGTTAGTAGATGAATTAACCTTAATTGTAACTATTTAAGCTGTTAAAAACCCATTTAATATGAAAACTTAGTGAAATTTAATGTTAACATTTTTTTTTCTGATGTAGGTAGATTTAGGTAAGCTTGAGAACAAAGAAAGTTTAACTTGAATGTGATTTATATGTACTTAAATGAATTAAAACTTAACATAATAAAAATATTTGTGCTATTTTAAGTAGATATTTTTAATATCAACCGATTTAAGACTTTCTTGTAACCGTCAGTACATTTTAACAAAATGTCGATCCACAAGTATATAGACTCATTACATAAAGATGAAATCAGATATGAACTCGCCATTATTGGTATTTCCACAGATGAAAATGTAACCACCGATGCAGTGAGGAGGCAGATCCGCCAGGTGTACAAACTCGCACGCCGTGGAAGCATAAAGTGTGAACCACTCCAGTCACCCAGTATAGCCTCTGAACTAGAGATCTGCACCCCAAAGGTCGAACTTCTGGAATCCCAGCTGCAGGCGGGTAAAGTAGATGATCGCAATTTGACTCTTAAACTGTATCGTCGTGCAAATTATTTGATGGATAGACTAGCTCGTATCTCTGAAAGTAGTTCGCATTTGTCAGATCTTCGTAGTCGTTTGATTCGCATTTTGAGTGTCATAGACGGTGAGGATAGCGACACGGATAGTGAGTACAAGGAAACCCAGGCACAGCCGTCTAACCAGAAAGTGGAAAGTAACGTGATCTATGTGGAAGATAAACCCTTGAACCTAAATACATTTAACTTAAAATTTGACGAAACCACGTGTGTTCGTGTATTTATTGAACGTCTTGAGGAACTTAAAGAGGCTCGCAACATTACTGAAGCTCGCATACTTTCAGCTTTTTCTAATCTTTTAGAAAACTCTGCTTTATGTTGGTTTAGAAGTAATAAGGATAATATCTACTCATATTCACAATTATTGAAATGCTTAAAGGACGACTTTGATATTCCCGATTTAGACTATAAACTATTAAATGAAATAAGGCAGCGTACACAGGCCAGACACGAAACGATAGTAGTCTATCTTTCCATTATGCAGGGAATGTTCTCGCGACTAACTCAGGCGTTGTCGAGTAGACAACAACTCGAAATCTTGATGCATAACATTAGACCAGAGTACATGAAAGATTTAGCTTTACATGATATAACCTCTGTAGACAAACTTAAACTTTATTGCAAACAGTTAGAAATTGCGCGGTCGCGTGCGGAACAATTTAGTGAACCTAACTTGAATAACTTTAAAATTACAGCGGACTTAAATAAACAAACGCCGCGATCTCACAGTAAACAAGTCTCTGTGCTGAATGAAGCTGGCTCTTCGAGGCAATTGGATAGGAAATGCTTTAGGTGTGGATTAAACACTCATTTCACCAATCAATGCGATTCGAAAGAGTTAGTGTGTTTTAAGTGTGGATTAAAAGGTGTTAAGCGTTCAGATTGTAGTAATTGCAATTCAAAAAACTAGTTAACACGGAACTATCCAACACCTTTAATAAAAATAGGTCTTATACGTCCAATAATGAAGAGGTAGTTCTGTTTAAAAAAAATACTAGGGATATAAGACCATACTTAAAATTAAAAATATTGAACTTACAAGCTTTTGGCTTATTAGATTCGGGTGCAACTTGTAGCATTCTTGGAAATAATGCGCATTTGATCTTTTTAGAACACGGATTTCAACTCAACTGGTTTGACACTGAGCACTACGTGAGAACTGCTGATGGTACGAGATTGCATTGCTTAGGGTATATGTCCTTACCTATTGAATTTAACAATAATTTCAGAGTGATTAACTTTTATGTTGTTGCACAAATAACTTCACCTATAATTCTAGGTGTTGATTTTTGGCAGGTGTTTGACTTAGGGAGTGACCTTGTATCCGAAGTACAGTTTGACCGAAAGTCGGAGTCATCAATATGTAATAGCATAAATTCGGTTTCTCTTAATAAAGGCCTTGAAGAATACGAGTCTTTATCCATAGAACAAAAACAAATCATGGATAAGTTAGTCCAACAGTTTGATACAATTAACACAGTTAAAGTAGGTTTGGGACGTACCAATTTAATTCATCACGTCATAGACACAGGGGATAGCAAACCTATTAAGCAAAGGTACTATCCATTATCACCTGTTAAGCAACTAGCACTTGAAAAAGAATTGGATAGAATGCTTAGTTTGGGAGTTGTGTCACCTTCACAGTCAGCTTGGAACTCACCTGTAGTAATGGTTCAGAAGCCAAATGGGGACCTAAGGCTTTGTCTAGATTGTAGAAAATTAAATGCAGTTTCCAAACCCGATGCGTATCCTCTCCCGTATATAAGCAGCATATTGGACCAGCTCCGCGACGCGAAATACCTAACGTCAATAGATCTTTCCGCTGCGTATTGGCAAATACCCTATGATAGCGAGCAATCAGCTGATAAGACCGCGTTCACAGTGCCACGTAGGGGGTTATTTAGATTCAATGTAATGTCGTTTGGCCTTGTTTCCGCGTCAAGCACAATGCAGAGATTAATGGATAGGCTATTTGGTCCCGAATTTAACAACAAAGTATTCTGTTTCCAAGACGACATAATCATAATATCCAGCACTTTCTCAGAACATGTGCAGCTCTTGCATAAGGTCTATGCAAAACTCAGGGACGCAAACTTGACTATAAACATGGATAAGTCTATCTTTTGCCGTAGAGAACTTAAGTACTTGGGATATTTAGTTGACAAACATGGACTTAGACTGATCCGGGAAAGGTAGATATTATATTGAATTATCCAACTCCAACTTCCGCTAAAGAGGTTAAAAGGTTTCTAGGCATGGCAGGCTGGTACAGGAGGTTCATTAACAATTTTTCGAAAATTAGTAAACCGTTGAATAAATTAACTAGCAAAAATGTCCGCTTTGAATGGACTACGGAGGCAGATGAGTCATTTAACCACTTAAAAACCGCTTTAGTGTCTGCTCCGATACTTAAATGTCCAAACTTTGATTTGCCTTTTTCTATCCATTGTGACGCTTCCTCAGTGGCTGTGGGCGGAGTCTTAACCCAGACTTATGACGGGGTAGAACATCCCATAGCATACTGCAGTCGGTCTCTTGCCAAAAATGAAATTAATTTTTCCACATCGGAGAGAGAACTTATGGCCGTGATTTACGCATTAGAGCAATTTAGATCTTATGTAGAAGGTACAAAGTGTAAAATAATAACCGACCACGCCTCGTTATTATGGTTTTATAAATTAAATAACCCATCAGGTCGCTTAGCCAGGTGGAGCATGCGATTGAGTCAATTTGATTTCGAAATAGAACACAGAAAAGGTAAATTAAATGGTTATTCCAGACGCACTAAGTAGGATTCAAGTTGATGCAATCGCTACGCCAGCAACCAGTGATGCGTGGTATAGACATGTATACGAAGATTGTCAGGCCAACCCTCGCAAATATCCCCACTTCATGGTAAAAGACGATAGATTGCTTAGGTACTCTAAAAATAAATATGAGTTAACGAATGAGTTTAATTGGAAGTTAGTGGTACCCGAGGAAGACAGGTTAGATATTTTAAAGAAATGTCATGATGAACCAGTTAGTGCTCATTTGGGTGTCTTTAAAACCCACAAGCGTCTTAGTCTTAATTATTACTGGCCCAGCATGTACCGAGATGTGAAAGAATATGTTAAAAATGCGAGATATGTAAACAATACAAACCCGTCAACACGGCTAGACCTGGTTTAATGGGAAACCCGAAGGAGGTTAACAAACCCTGGGAGGCCATATGTTGCGATTTGCTAGGCCCATTTCCGGTTTCTCGCAATAGGAATATTCACTTAATTGTATGTACAGACTATTTTAGCAAGTATGTCATGTTGCATCCTATACGGATCGCAACAGGCGCTGCGGTCGCTAAGTTCATAGAAGAGAAAGTGTTCCTAGTACATGGCGTATGTAAGACTATCTATATTGACAATAGCCCACAGTATGTGTCTAATCAGTTTAGGCAACTGTTACATAAATATAACGTACCGAATATCTATTATAACCCGCGTTATCACCCACAGGTAAATCAAGCCGAAAGAGCGATTAGGAACGTAGTTAACGGTATATCATGTTATGTAGGTACCGAGCATAAACGATGGGACGAGAACATCCCACAGTTGCAATGCGCACTTAATTCAGCCGTGAATGATATCACTAAGTTTACTCCGTATTTTCTTGTGCACGGACGGGAATTCATAATAGATGGAATGTTACACAGCTTAGATAGCCCTCAGCCAGTTCAAAGATCACAAGTAACTCTCGGTGAACCACAAGCATACAGTAAAAAATTAGCGGAATTAGACACCATATTTAAAAAGGTACAAAAGCATATTAAAAATGCTCATTCTAGAAATGAAAAGTACTATAACTTAAGAAAACGACATGTTGAGTTAAAAGTAGGTCAGATTGTATATAAACGTACCCATTACCTATTTAATGCCTCAAAGAGATTTACGGCTAAACTAGCACCAAAATTTCAAAAATGTGTCATAACAGCGACATTATCACCTTTAGTGTATACATTAGCCAGCATGGAAGGTAAGACACTAGGTAATTTTCACATAAAAGACATCCTTAAACAAGATGACTAATAGTTTTGTAGAATGTGAGTGATGAGTATGATTGAGTGAAAGAATGTAAGAATAATAAACATTTTCAAAATTCATTTCCACCGGTGAACTTTCTGAGATAAATAAGCTGTGATTGTATTGATGAACGAGCGATACATAACTAGTAGGTCATCTTATGTTGTGAACATCGGCGCGAGTTAGATAAGAATTTGTTCTTTATGTCCGCACTCTGGACATTATATAAGAAAATGCATACCAGCCAGTGCGTAGCATTACTTAAGCTGTTTCTTTTAACTTAATATGATTAAACGTTAATTCACTTAACTTAATGCGAGATAGATATTTAACTTAACTTAATACTTAATATGATTTCCAAATCACTTAACTACTCAACTTAATAAATAAGATCACGTTCGTTTTTCGACTACTTAGAGAAAAGTCGAGTCGAAACGTAAACATCGTGTGTAGGCTTAGTGCACTGTAGGTATTCGTTTCTGTCCCGTGATGTTACGTCACGCACCGCATGAATGGTAATAGACTATTCGCGCGTAGGATTCGGGAACGTAATTATTCATAGGCGGTTGTATTTCATTATTGTAAAAACATGTAGGAATAAATGTAAATAAAGTTGCATGCCATTAGGTTAATATAGGTATAACAATTAGTGTAGTATTTTCTAACTTACAACACAGGTAGGTAAATTTGTGGTAGTGTTTTTTTTTTGTGTTAACAACACAAGTAGGTAATTACATTTTGAGGTTAAATTGTTTAGTGGAATATAATGTTACTAGGTATACAGATACAGAAATGAAAATTAGGTAATAAGTAGAGTAATAATGAGCCTTGTGTAAGATTAAACGTCGTAATTAAGTGATTAAGTGATGGCTTGGTACTTGTTAGTTGTTGGTGCATGGGTGACCTGGAATTTACTATCCGTGCGAATGTTTTTAGCCAGATTGGATTAGAGACGCATTACAACTTCTTCACTGTCTTTGGTATTCAGTCGTTGTTCTGCAGGTGGCACGAAATGTCTTCGGAAAAAGTATCTTCATTACGAAGAACTTTTTAACCCAAGCAAAGGCGATGTGTAACACGAAAAGTTTTGTGTACATTATTTTAGCATATTTACGTTATTACATGCGATGAACAGACTTCAGAGCGCCATCTAACGTCATTAGTCCGAAGTAACTAGAAACGTATATTGACGAATCGAGCTAGCTAATTGCATGCAATTGACCTTTCGTGTTAGTTTGAAATCCTACCACGGATCGACGGTGGCGTGTAGCCCAAGGGAGGCCTAGTTCTTTTTGGAGCGAGCCGTTGTAATGATCGGACACGCACATATATAATTTTTGAATCGAAACGCCGGAACATGAATTTAAAGTGACGACTACTTGGGCGTACGGCCCCTTAAACACAATGTCTACGGGCAGTTTAATGTGTTGAAACACATCATCCCATAAATTGTAAGTACTTAATGTTTTTGTCTTCTTAAAAGCACATGTGCTCTAATTAACGGTACACGGTGTTTCATAGATTCTTTTGCCTTGTCATAGGGGTCCTTAGTCCTTAGTCCTTAGTCCTTAGTCCGTACTTTGAGTATGGTCCATTATCAAGTTTAACAATGTGAACGAGGCGAGGCAGCTTCAACGGGTGGCTATATTGGGACTGGGCGGCCAGGAGACCGCGACCGGCGTACACCTGGAGGATATCTGTTGCCTCACTGCTTCGCGGGATTGACCATAAACAGTGTAATATTGTGTAATCCACCAGGTTAGTCAAAACCTCAGTTCGTAGGATATTTTAAAGTGAAAACTTGATATTTGGAGCTATATATGTGAACCGTAGAAGGAAATAAAACCCTTTTTGTCTGCATATGTAACTTAGCATTTTCATTTACTAATCATCCAACAACAGGCGCCCTGGGATACTTTTATTTTGATCCTCAAGTCCCTTGACTCTCCGATAACCGTAGCCGGTGAGTAACGCCCTAAAAAGTGTTATAAAGTGGCTACCCAACGTTGAACCTTAAGTTGCTGGATGTTAGTAGATGAATTAACCTTAATTGTAACTATTTAAGCTGTTAAAAACCCATTTAATATGAAAACTTAGTGAAATTTAATGTTAACATTTTTTTTTCTGATGTAGGTAGATTTAGGTAAGCTTGAGAACAAAGAAAGTTTAACTTGAATGTGATTTATATGTACTTAAATGAATTAAAACTTAACATAATAAAAATATTTGTGCTATTTTAAGTAGATATTTTTAATATCAACCGATTTAAGACTTTCTTGTAACCGTCAGTACATTTTAACAAAATGTCGATCCACAAGTATATAGACTCATTACATAAAGATGAAATCAGATATGAACTCGCCATTATTGGTATTTCCACAGATGAAAATGTAACCACCGATGCAGTGAGGAGGCAGATCCGCCAGGTGTACAAACTCGCACGCCGTAGAAGCATAAAGTGTGAACCACTCCAGTCACCCAGTATAGCCTCTGAACTAGAGATCTGCACCCCAAAGGTCGAACTTCTGGAATCCCAGCTGCAGGCGGGTAAAGTAGATGATCGCAATTTGACTCTTAAACTGTATCGTCGTGCAAATTATTTGATGGATAGACTAGCTCGTATCCCTGAAAGTAGTTCGCATTTGTCAGATCTTCGTAGTCGTTTGATTCGCATTTTGAGTGTCATAGACGGTGAGGATAGCGACACGGATAGTGAGTACAAGGAAACCCAGGCACAGCCGTCTAACCAGAAAGTGGAAAGTAACGTGATCTATGTGGAAGATAAACCCTTGAACCTAAATACATTTAACTTAAAATTTGACGAAACCACGTGTGTTCGTGTATTTATTGAACGTCTTGAGGAACTTAAAGAGGCTCGCAACATTACTGAAGCTCGCATACTTTCAGCTTTTTCTGATCTTTTAGAAAACTCTGCTTTATGTTGGTTTAGAAGTAATAAGGATAATATCTACTCATATTCACAATTATTGAAATGCTTAAAGGACGACTTTGATATTCCCGATTTAGACTATAAACTATTAAATGAAATAAGGCAGCGTACACAGGCCAGACACGAAACGATAGTAGTCTATCTTTCCATTATGCAGGGAATGTTCTCGCGACTAACTCAGGCGTTGT